CCCGACCAGGCGCCTCCTATCTCCCCCGCGCCGGGCCCTCCGTTGATCAGGAGGGCCCGGCGGCATTGTAGGGGGTGGCGGCGCACGCGCAGGTACCCCGGGGGAGGGAACGCCAGAGATGGCGTCCCCTCCCCGCCCGCGAGTGCGCCGTCCCTAGACCCCGCGCTGATGCGCGGGCAGGCGAGGCGCCGCTCTCCTTCTGCAGCGCTTCGCCCCATCCCGGGGGGCGGCGGTTTCGCCCCGCTGCACCCTCTCCGACTCCTCCTTCTGTGACACGACTGTGTCACAGAAGGAGGTGATGGCAGACCAGCCCTCGTCTCCCCCAAGCATGGCCCTTCTGAGGGCCGGGGGAGAGAGGTCCGCTCCCACCACGTCAATCAGGACTCGGCGCTCCACATCCCAGGAGGGACATTCCTCCAGGGTGTGTTGCGCTGAGTCCACCTCAGCGCCACAGTGGTGGCAGCGGGAGTTAGGCTCCCTACCAATCCTGTGCAGGTACTCACCGAAGCATCCATGTCCAGTGAGTACCTGCGTCGTCCGGAAGGACAGCTCTCTGCGGACCCTGTCTACCCATTCTTGTAGACAGGGCCGGATGGCCTCGGCGACCCTCGTTCCTGAGTGGCCTGCCGCCTCCTCCAGGTGGATGCTCCACCTTAGGAGGAGGCGTTGACGGGCCTGCAACTTTGCTACACCTATGGCCCTGGCCAGATGTTCAAGGTCTCCCCCGGCACGGAGCTCCTTGACACGCCGATAGGTCTCGGCGTGCATCTGCGCAAGGAGCTCCAGCGGGGGGAAACCGGCCAGGGCCGTGGCGGCCGTATGCGACGTCGTCCGATAGGCCCGGGCGAAGCGAATGGCGACCCACCGCTGAGCGCGGTGTGCCAGCGCTATGATGCGCTGGTTGGTCGCCATCGCACTCGCCCAGACCGGGGCCCCGTACAGGGCCATAGACTGGACGACGCCGGCATACAGCCGCCGTGCCTTCCTTTTAGGGCCGCCCAGGTTGCGCAGGGAGCCACCCAACGTATTGGCCACCTTGCCCAACTTGGGGGCCAGAAGCTCGAAATGCTTCTGAAACCCCCATGTACCATCCAAGACGAGTCCCACATATTTTATCGTGGGACCCGTCTTCACGGAGACACCGTCGATCCGGACTCGGGCCCCAGGTGATCCCCTCCTGGAGTCATCATGTATGAACATGAGCTCAGATTTGAGGGAAGTCACCTTGAGGCCCACCCTGTTCAGGAAGCCTATCACCTGGTCCACTGCCAGACGTCCCTTTTCCAGGGCGCTCCGCCAGCCACTGCCCCCGGCCAGCACTATGGTGTCGTTCGCGTAACAAACAACGGTGCAGCCGGGGAGGAGGGCAAGGCGGAGGACTTGGTCGTACGCGATGTTCCATAGTAGGGTTCCTAGTATGGACCCCTGAGGGACACCGCGGTAGACCACCCTTCCGCACTGGAGTTCTGCTTTGTTGCGGAACTCCAGTCTTCTATTTTGGACGTAGTCCCTAATAATTGAGACCAGGTGGGGAGGGGACCCTGAAATGGGCCAGACCTGCCTCCACCCGGTCCCAAGGGAGGGGCTTTTTTTTTTATAACTCAGTGGAAAATGCATTACGCATCTCACGGAGAAACCCGGGGAGGTCTCCGGGGGTATGTGGGACTCCCCTCCCCCTCTCTACAGGAGAGGAGGAGGTATACCCACTAAAAACACCTGAGTGTGTCTTTCACCGCGCGAGTTGGGCGACCCCCTGGCATCACCTTTCGGCATTCTGCGGGGGGCCGCCCTGCGCTAGCGCAGATGCGCTCCATACGCGGTGAGGGGAGGGGCGGGTTACGTACCCGCAACCCCCCACTCACCATTCAAGCCGTCCTCGGCATTTGCGCGGCGAGAGGCGGAC